CTCCCTTCTTAAATATGTTAGCACAGAGGCCTTCCCACCGTCGCTGATTGGCTTGGCCTTGGCCAGCAGCAGGTCCATCTTTGACCTGGCTGGCACTGGCTTTATCAGACATGGGGGAAGCTTCTCGCAGAATCCACCTCTATAGCCCCCCTGCTACCAAAACCTTGCCACACAAACCCACAACAAGGGGGCAGAAATGAAGAGTCAGATTTTAACATGTAAGGGCCAGCAGTGGTGTCCTGCTTTGAGTCTCTATTAGGTCCTGTGGTACTTTAAAAGTACAAAAGAAATCGCAAATAATTGGATGAGTGCATAATGAGGTAAAGAACTGCAAAGTGGCTGTGACTGGGTGATAAAAATTGGAAAGAAAACTTGGTGTACATAGCATGGTACACATAGGAGGCAAAAATAATTCCAAAATTGCATCTTCACGAGCTCTGAACTGACTGTTCACACTTGGGAACAAAATTCTGGGGCTATAGGAGACCATACTACAGAGAGATCACCTCTGTCTAACAGGGGTCAGAAAAGCAAACCGTATTAGAACCTACTGGGAACGGAAGATGAAACAAATAGAGAAGCAACTACCAATAGATAGATCACTCATACATCTTTAGTCTGCAAGACCTAGATCACAGAATCATTTTAGATTATGTTGCTCTGACTAGCTAGAGCTTGGTTTTGACATTTCCTACGTCACAGCAGACACCATGAAGCATCAGTGGGCTCATGCAAAAGGATAAATTACAGCATTATATTTTAACACAGTATATGATGCTGGTTTAAAGCTTTGGTTTGTGTTTTTTTTAAAGCATCACACAACATACAATAGCTGCCAGTTCACAAGAATGCTCAAACTCACAGGTTCATCTAGCTCCTTTGGGGGGAACAGAGGGTAACATGACTCTGTAGATCAGAAATTCCTAAATGACTCCTTGGTACTTTTCCTATAAACGAGCTATCAAGTTTTGAGTACTGCCTGTTGTTACCTGATTTTAGATTACATATACAAAAATAAATTGGAAGACATGATAATATTGGGATTCAACTTTTTTTTCTCATTCTAACTTTGTGTAAGCATTCCAAAATATTTTTGAGGTTCATAGATATTACTTTGGGAGAAAAAAAAGTTGGAATGAATATCATACAGCAAGCACAGTAGATGCCGTTTCAACAGTATTATAACTCAAATCTGTTAATTTAAAAAATAAATCCTTATTATCCCAATAGATGTGCATAAAAATTTTTTTATGTCACATAAGATTGGGGCCAGAAACTGATAGCGAAATTCATTTTCCTCCTAGTCCTTCAGTTTAAATGTCACTGGTGTCAGACTTAACTTGGCTTTTGAAGAATATGCATATTTCTAAAAAAAGCTAAACTCGATTAGTGAACGATTTGTGTGTTCATATAAAAAAACAAAAAAATGGAAACATTTTCAACAAAACAGTATCATAGGTCAATGTAAAACTACTTCAGTCTGTTGCTTTCACATACACAAAGCAGACTAGGATATGTATTTTCTGTCATGGAAACTGGGAAGCTAGGGAAACTATTACTGAAAGTATTAGTGCTAAACACCTAAACAAATACCTAAAGCCAAAAGTCATACGGACGTCTCAAAACTACTTTTGAGTATTTTCACTGGAATTTCTAGAAATTAGATATCAAATATCTACCACATACGAGAGTGCACGTAAATTGTAACCTGGGATTCAACTGACATGCAATTGTCAATATCGAAAGACTTTGACCAAACTTCA